CCAGCATTCCCCAGCCAGCCGTGCTGGCTGGGGAATGCTGGGAGTTGAAGCCCACACATCTTCAAGTTCCCAAGGTTGAGAAACACTGTTCTTGAAGGATGTAAAGGTGGAAATATGAGATTATGCTAAACCAACCTGGCCAACAGGACTTTTAGTCCACATAGCTGGAGGCCACCAAAATTCCAATCTGACTCTTGCTAACCGCAGAGCAAAAGATTCCTACAGGCTTAATGTATTTACTCCCCGTTTCAGGTGAATTACTTTGCAGGTCTGCCCACAAACATATGAAAACGTGGGTAGATTTCTGGGTTTTATCCACCCCACGGTTTCTATTTTTCATGCGTGGTGAGGAACGATGCCCTTCTCCATTTTAAAAAAGGCGTTGGCTGGCTCAAGCCTGCGGCCTCTGCTACTTCCTGGCCAGGGGTGTCTGTGCGGACAGGTGTCGAAAAAGTCAAGATGGTTGCTATAACCTTCAGCCGAAGGCCTGCTCCTGTTTTCCACGTGTTGTACCCCTTTGTGGATGGGCCATGGTTAGTAGGACCCACAAGCGGTCCGGTCGATATTGTCCTACCTTGGAAAAATGCTCAAGGGCCTGTGGGCTGTTTTCGCACATCTCCGCGATTAACATCACGGTGCCATGCAGGGCGCCTGGAAAAAAAAATAAGACGGTTGGGTTGTGAGTCGGATTCAACGGCTCCTCCCAATCACTCCGTTTCTCAGTCCAAGGCCCTCGTGTTCCCTTCCTTCTTCTCAAACTTTTCCTTGAACTTTTTCAGGGAGTTTTTCCAGCCCTTCCGGTTGCCCGTTCCAGCAAGGAAGCCAGTTGGCACATTACAATTAACTGACGGCTCTCCGTGCACACATGGACCGTGCAACTCCCCCATTTTGGCCACCTACAGCAAGCTCAAAATCCGGCTCACTCACCGTGAATTTGTTCCTTCAGCAGTTGCTCTCCGAGGGGGGTGAACATCTCTGATAACGCTGGCACTTTCCGGGTTATATGGACAGCACAGACCACAGCCTGGGAAACAGAGGGTTTGTAAAGAGGAATTGTCATGGGCGGATGCCATGGATAATTCACATTTTTCCAGGACTAGGTTTTGGGCGTGAAGTTCGGTCCTGTCTGTTTAGCTTTTGAGAAAAGGCCAGTGCCTCTGAACATGCGCAGAATGCTCCCCGCTGGAGTGACGCGAGCCGGCCTCCCACGCCTCTGAATCAACGGGAAGAGCTCCCGACTCCGACTCGCAGCCCGTTTTCAAAGAAGTCGAGAGGATTTTTGAGCAAGAGAGACCCACCTACCTAAGTCGGAGATGAGATAGGGCTTTCAGGCAACTCCTTGTAAAAAATAACGGGCTAAAAAATGCAAAGAACTCCCTTTCAAAAAACGGAAGAGTGGAAGCGCTAGGATTTAACTCCCGGACGAATCTGGTGCACGCAAACCGTTTTTAACTACAGGAAGGGGAGTCAGACGTTGCCCACCTTCCTTCGCACTGAGGGCTGCCCGGTTTTTGCCAGCTGTTGCACTTCCTGGGCCAAATCCTGCAGCATTGCGGCAGAGCCAAGCGAACCGAGGGCGCTGAGTGCCAGGCCCTGTACCCAGGGGCTGGCGTGCAGAAGGTCACTGGCGGGAGAGGTGAGAAGAAGAGAAGGTGGCATGAGAAGTCGTCTCCTCCCCACACGCTGCCTTCAGCCCCCCAAATCTGGTGTGAAAGCAACATCTCTGCCCCCCGGAATATGTCCTACCTTATGGGCAGGGATTCTCTCACTGCAAATGTTAGTCGAGGCCACGGAGCGCATGAAGGGGGGCAATGGGGCCTAACAGGAGACCCAAAGTGGTTTGGGGGTGAAGGTGCTGGACTAGGAGCAGGGAGACCCGGGTTCTAGTGCCGCTCACCCATGGAAGCTCCTCTCTTAGTCCAACCTACCTCACAGGGCTGTTGTGGGGAAAACTGGAAGGAGAGACCATGCTCTGGAGTCCCTAAATACAGAGCAGCCAATGATACTTAAAAGCAGGACAAACATCTGCCTGGCTCACAACCTTCTCCTCTTCACATTTTGGCTTTTTGACCGCATCCCGTGGACACCCCTGCCTCT